CTCGTTGTAGAGTTTGATGCGCTTGGCCAGGCCCACCACCAGCCGGGCTTCGGCCGTCAGCTCCTGCGCCCTGGGGCTGCTGAAGACAATGTTGCAGAGACATTTGAGGGACTCCAGGATTACGTCCAAGTCTGGGACCTCCCGGATGAGCTCCTCTGAGTAATCAATGCCAGCATGCCTGGAGAGGGTCTTCAGGCCTTCCTTGGTGGTGAAAGGGTCAAGGCAGTGTTTGTCCCGGGACAGGATGCGGATGCTTTCCAAACACGTCACCTGGCAGGACGGCTGCAGCTCTCTCTCCAGGAACTTGATCAGCAGCTGGGCCATTTTCTGTGCAGTTGGAAACAAGCAATGCCTCGCACGCTGACGCTTCGCCGTGCTCCCCACCACCCTGGACCGCTCTGCCCCGGAAGACGCGAGCGTCATCTAGAGACGGCCCCGCTAACAGCTCCAGCAGCTGATCCTGACCCAGTTCGAGCAGGGACACCCAGCAAGGAACAAAGAATGGCTGGGAGAGGGCATTGGATGTAAGGGGAGACTACGAACGGGCAACTGCTCTGCCGCGTGTCTCAGCTTCACCCGTGGCTCAGATGGTTCAGGCTGACGCAGTTCACTTGGCAGCTGCTTTAAGGAAAGAGAGGGCAGCTCGAAAGAGTCCCTGTGGCTTCACTCAGGAGCAACAAGCGGGTCTCTGTTCCCACCCAGAGCGTTAAGATTAGGGAGGCCACTGCTTTGGGTGCTCCAGAAACAGACTGGGAAGGCTGAGAGATGGGCCAGAAAGTCACCAAGGGAGGGTAAAAGGACCTAAGCGGGGTGAGAAGAGCACGTGATGCCCCAGGAAAGGAGGTGAGAAGTCCTCAGGAGATTCAAATAAGTAGCACCTCCCTAAACATTTGTGCTGTCTGGAGACCCACTAGCCCAGATCCCCAGTAGGTGCAGAGCAGCAGAGCTCCACTAACACCAATTCACAGCAGCTGAAGATCTAACTAACCCTGCCGGGTAAGAGCATCGTAGGCGACAGCAACGGAAGAGCACGAGAGCCAGGGCAATGCTTCACGCAGCCCGGCGCAGCTGGCTGGAACCACCAACACTGCACATGACACCAGTGACCCACCGTGCAAACAACCGCACCGCCTCGGGGAGGTCGGGTCTCAGGAGATCCCTGATCCCTCTAACGCGGCACCGTGTTACAAGAGCGCAGAAATCCAAGATTGCACACTCGGTCACACTCTGTGTGACGTGTGATGTGCTTAACGCAGCCAGATCAGTTATACTTCACAATAACAAAGGGACTGAGAGAAGGAATGAAGAGAAAATGAATTTCAGACCTTAACGTGAGGCTGAACAACCTTTAACTCATGAAGCATGTCCCCCAGTTACACCCTTGAGAAGCAAGAGAGTACAGCCATTCCTCTTCTCCTTCCACGTGAGGAGAGAGACGGACACAGGAATTAGACACAGTCCTAAGTAACCAAAGCCTCTGACTGACTCACGTCGAAGAGAATCGGAGCATGTGCCCAGGGGTAAACCTTCGGAAGAACTGAGCACCAGGAACTCGATGGTGGTGCTCCATTTGTATCCCAAAAGCGGAGCACCCCACAGCTGTGCCTGAATTCACGGCCCGTGTGAGTGCTCCAGCTCCAACGGCGAGTCAGGGCAAGGCACAGAGCTCGTACCTTGTGAGATCTGGTCCTGTGTGTCAGGCTGTACCTGGAAAAGCTTCATGCTGGTATTAGCTGGCAATAGCACGGACACAAGAGGTCCTGTTCTCCACCCTGGCTGCCTGGTCCACACTTGCTGTGCTATCACAGGTGTTAGAGCAACCAACCAATGAACTGGACCACAAAACTGATACAGCTGGAAAATAATCCGGGCCAGGGCAAGAGTTATTCTTTGGGCAGATCAGCTCACCAACCACAAGCAACTACGAAAAGGTCTGTCCAAGAGCAAAAATGAACAGGCGGAAGCCTCCCCTTCCACTGAGTGCCAGACTACACCAGCCTGGAGTGCCCATTAATATACAGCTTCTGCCAAACCCTGCAGCTGCTCGCAGCAAACACACTTGCCCACCAGAGGCTCACACGTTGCTATGATCTTTGCCCAGCAAATTCACACCACAAACACAAAGGATCTCTCTTTCCACGCACCCACGGCTGAGACCATGTGCATCACAGAACGCCAAGGGCTTGCTAACACTGGAAGGATGCTGACCTCTGCCCTAAAACACCAACCACTGATGGAAAAAAGTGGAGCCAGATGCTCTGAGCACATCGTTCCCTAGCCTTAACGGAAAAACTCTCATTTCTTTCCCTGCAGGAGCTGCCACCGTCAAGCCCTGCTGGACACGAGTACGCAGCAGTGGATTTACCCATCCCACCAGAGGAAGAAATCAAAGAGCATGCCTACCTTCCTCTCTTCCCGCTCCTCATCGTCAAAGGTGAAGCACTGAGATTTCTGTGGGGGCAAAACGGAAACAATCAAAATAAAGTAACAGGTTAAAGATCCACAAAACTCTTTTCCTCCTCCCAGGGAAGGGCCGTTCAGCTGGAACGCAGCAGGTCGACAAACACACTGCAGGAGCAAGCGCGTCTCCCCAGGAACGGTCCCCACCGGCACAGAGGCGATCGGCACGGCACGGAGTGCCACAGCCCTCCGAGAGGGCTACGATACTCACGGGGTTTGTCACCAGCAGCACGAGCTCCCGGTGAACAAGGCAAAAGGAAAATGTCCCTGCCACCGAGGCTGGCTCCGTCCTGCCTCTTCTTTCCCACACTGCTCCGACCTGGGCAACTCCAACCACGCGCTGGGCAACCAGGGGGAACGAATCTGGTTTGAAAAGCTCAGGTATGGACCACGCCACCAGGTCTGAAGTGCTTTCCCCGAGTGAGATCCCCACCATTCTGGAGGCCCCTTTTTCTCTCTCATCCTTGAAAAACACTTGTGTTGGGTATTGGCCACTGCTCTCTCCTGCTGGCTCCACGGCGTAGGCCGGATGCCCCAGGCCAAAGCTGTGCCCACCTGATGGACGGGCTTATTTTTAAGTACTGCAGCAGTGAAGTGAGTATTTGTCACAACCCAAATATCCCGGAACAGCCGGTAATTCCTCTGCTCGGCGACACCACCAAGCTGTGACCACACGTTTCTCCTCTTGACATTTATTGCTCCTTTTCCTGACCAAAAGAAAGTACCATTTCCGTGACATTTGCACACAGATCCTTGTGCTCTTCATTCCCACGGTGTCTGGAAGTACAACTGTTATTCAGGTCACATCTACTTGACACACAAGAGACCTGACCTCTACACCTCCACCATGGCCCTCTCCTTAATGAACAGTCCTGCTCTCTGTTCATGGGAAACACTTCTGGGTTTCTCAATATTCCGGCTGTTCTTCCACGGACAGTCTCCTTTCTGGCTCCATCTGCTTCCAACGAACTGGGCAGCACAAGAGATCACAGGCGCCCTGGGGAAAAGCAGCACTTTCCAGGGAATGATGCAATCCTCATTTAGACCAAGAGAGCAGTTGGTCAAAGCTTTGAGAATGAAAATGTTTAAGATTTATAAAGCACTAATTACATATGTACAGATACAGCTAGATCTACGGACAGAGATACGCAGAGGTAACTGTGGCGGAACTCTCCCATCACTTTCCCAGCGCTCGCTGTCCCCTTTTCCCGAGTTGCACCGCGTATGCTTACGGAGCTGCTCAATAATGGGAATTAGTCTCTCCACGACCGATCGTTCTTGTACTCTGGATTTACTCTTCTCTTGAGTGATCACAATTCATGGATATCTCATCTACAGCTGAGCTCGTCTCCCACAGTATTTATCACCTTACGAGTTGTCCAGCTGCCTAATTACCTGCTTTCCTGCCCAGCCAAGCCCAGGGCTGACTGCACCGAGCTTTTGGAGATCACGGGTGTTCTCCGACTCGCTCGCCCTGCAAGCGCAGCCTCCCCAGCCCTTCACTGCCTTGTGCAGGTGCTGCCCGCTCCTCTCTGCTGACAAGCAGAAGACACGGTTTGCAGATCAGCTCCGCCACAGTCGCCGAGATCCCAGGGATGGCTTTGGCCGCTCCAGCCCGGAGCGCGCAGCGATGGACGCGGACAGTGGTACGGCTGTCGTGCTGATCCGAGCGCGGGCTGCTGCACCGTGCTGCGAGGAGCTGGCAGTGCAGTCCTGGAACCCAGGTGCTCTGCAGACAACCACGCCACGTGTTCTCCTCCCGTCGCATCCTCTTTGCCGGCTCCTGAAACCTCACTTGGGCGTATTTTTGCCATGCCTGCGGTTTCGCTTGGGCTGTAGCTTACTTCTGGCAATCAAAACCTGACTGCGCACACAATAGCGAATCAAAAAGATATCACCAGAAAGAGGATACAGTACCACCAATTTTTCCAGTAAAAAAATTACACAAGGAAGTTGCTTAGCTTATGTGCAGTTTCTCAATCCTCTTTGATTGCTCCATTTCTTCTGGCGGGCTAGCAAAACCACGGATGTTCTCCCAAGTTTCCTACGCTTGATACACCGACAAAGGATCCAGCAGGAGGAATTTGACAGAAAATATCATCGCTTGATGCCTCAAGCTGGTTGCACATCAAACTCCACTTGCACTCCTAATTTCTCTAGCCTTACACCTGCTGGAGGCAACATTAATCCTGCAGGCTGTCTTTAACGGGGGCTCGCTCCTCCTTAGCTACCGCCTCCCGTTTCAAAACCACCTGCTGGAAAGAGTCGCACGTTCTCCCTCTTGCACACTCGTGCGAAACATTCACAGGTTTTCCCCACTGGCTTCCCACCTACTCCGGAGTGGTGCAGAATGAGTCACGGAGATCTGCAGGGCCAGCCCTACCCTGGTGGAAACCCTCCGAAGGAAATTTCCCTGACATCCAGAGCCTATTTCAAAAGGGATTTACCCCCCCAGATAATCTTTTGCCACTTTAAGGCTACAAACACTTCCATCTCTGCTTCCCAAACATTCTTTTTTTGATATTCTGTATTTGTTATTTACTTCTTATGGTCAGCTTTCAGATCAGGCACCGGTATCAAATTCCAGCAGCCCATCCCTGTCCGCCTCTAACCATCTTTTACTTGCAAATCACGACAACCATTTCACCTGCTGCTCCTCCCCACCCCTCCGTTCTATTACCTCCAAACCTCCTACTCAGTCTTCACACTGATGTTTATTTCCCTGCCAGGTTCTACTTGGGACCTGGATAATAATAATAAAATAAATCCCTTCTACAGGCTTTGCTCCCAGTATACAAAGGAACCGAGATAAAAGGAGGCTGCTTAGCTGCTTCCTAGCAAAACATGGAGCATTAACCCCTCTGCAAGTACAAGACGAAGCAGCCTGTAACATTTTTATGGCAGTGATGCTCACACGGACGCGCTCAGAGGAGACGGACCGGGGACAGGCGGGGGGGGC